CCAATTGACCGTAGTCAAAAAAGGCCAGGTTCTGGGAGATGAAGCGTGCTAGTAGAAGATGTTCTGGGGGTTGCCAGTTACATCCAATTTCTTCGGTTCGAAGTTGATTTTGGAGCAAAGGTTTGCGAGGAACTTTTTCTGGTAACGGCTGTTGCTGATTTTGACAATCTCGAACAATGGTGCGAGCTTCGAGACGTAAGGCCGAGCAGTAGCGCCATTGGAGTCACCAACAATATCACGCTGGTAATAGAACGCCTCTTGCACAGCCCGCATGTATTCTCGCTCAAACATGGATTCGTATTGTTGATGGAGCATTTTGTGTGTGTCGAACGCGATTTTCGCAATTGCAGGAACGGTAGAAGTCTCCAGAGAGACGAGAACACCTGCGCATTCCTTTGGATGCACTAAGCCCTGCCTATTGATACTCGCAATGAGTTCAATGGCAGTCAGTGAATAAGTATCCTGGCGCGATTGTGCCACCTGAAGCATGCTTGAGAGGAAGTGTTGGGCGATCAAAGCAGCAGCGCCATCATTGTCGCTAGCTCTCAAAGAACCACCCAATCTGGTGGTGTCTTCCTGGGCGGCGGCTTCTGCAGTTGGCATGACGGCCTTTTCGGATTTGCCTTCATGGATGGCAAAGAAGTCTGCAAATGATCGGAGAACGATGTTTTGTAGGCTCGGGGCATCTTCCTTGAAAGCTTGAGCGAAGGTCTGCCGTGTGCGTTCTCGGCCGAATTGGCCAGGCCAAGACTGGCATATAGATCCCAGGCTTTCGAGGGCCATGACCCTCACCTCAAATGGTGAATTTGATGCAGTGAAGGGAATAATGGAGTCAACCATCAGCCCCGCAACTGAGCCACCGGCCCAGGTGGAGAATTCACTCTTAAAATGAGATGCATACTTTTCAAGATCGCAATGCCGCCCAACGCAACCTGCAATACGAATGTAACTCTTGGCACGGGCTAGGATTGCAGCATGTGCAGTTGAAGAGAGATCAACACTTTTGTACTGTTGCAATGGTTTCAGTACAGAAACCGTCAATTTCACCAGTCTGTTCGTATTCTGCAGAACACTGTTGATGGTCCACAAACAAGCCATGACTTCGTTCAACTCTGAACGGGCGAGCTTGGCAACACTCTTGAAAAGGTCATTCTGCACTTCCTTCAGAAGGGTGTTGTGGGACGAGGATAAGAATGGCAGGACGCAACGATAGATAACTACAACCGATCGGAATATGAAAAGGTCATCTGCGGTGGAAAGGTGTCCGATGTAAGGATGTAGGGTCTCCAGCTGATCCGGGGTAAACAGCTTCGCATTCGACTTGGCAAAGACGGTGATTGTCTGTAAAAGAGCTTGCTGGAATTCCTTGCTGGATCCATCTGAATCCTCCACCAGTCTCTGGAACATGGTAGAGACCATCGCTTTGCAAACTTTGAAGTTCAACGCCGCTGACTTGGATTTGTCCGAAAGGACAGCTTTCAAACAGACGCTAAGGGACTCCAGGGCAGCTTCACTGCGCTCGGTCAGGCCAACGATGAGACCTACCTGCTCTCCGAGAGCCATTTTCAATTTTGGTCCCTCGGACGAGGAGTCAATGGATTCGTGGAATGGAACGAGCCATATTTCCTCGAAGGTTTGGCGAGCCAAAGATGCCACACTCTCCTCAAGATCGCCTGTGCGTTGGAGGAAACTGTCCAGAATAGCCAGCTTCAATTCCTTTCGAGACGTTTTGTGGTAAAGTTCCTTCAAAAGCCCAATACAACGTTTCCGGACACCAGCTGTTTGGTCGGCTGCACAGGCCAAAATGCTTCGACATCCTTCTTCCTCGAGCTTAGGCTTCAGCCCAATGCATTGTCCAATCAACTGTAATGCGGAGTCTCGAACCATGGGCGAGGCATCCGTCGTACACCGGTGTATTACGCGCAAAACGGAAGGATCTCTGTCAAGAAGGTTCGGGTCTTTTTCGAGCATGTAGATGACACTTTTTAAGCTGCGGCTGCGAACCTTGGCCGAGTCACCAAGGAAAGAGGCCAAAAGAACTTTGAGAATGGTGTCGAATGCTTTGCCGAAGTTGGAATTCAAGACCGTGAGGATATAGGCAAATTTGCCATGCACGTTGGGGATTTTGTCAAATTCTTTGTGGGTCTCTAACCAGCGTGGATCTGAGAAGGATCTTGTTAAAAGAGTAACCAAATCATCAGTCATCTCGTCATGTGCAATTTCTTCCTGGTCCTCGGAGTTGTAATATAGGGCGCAGGCTGTTTTGGCCCATTGAGCCAAGTAGTAGCCCCGCGCGCTGGTCAGTTGCCAATTGTCGGAATTCTTGTCTTGCAAAAGGTGCTCGAGTGAAATCCTATACGGACCCGTTGGAGTGATGAGGTCTTGATGATGCAGTGCGCCAGAAGAAAATTCCTCAAATTGTTGTTTGAGGTAATCAGTCAATTCACTGTCCGAATCTTCTAGAGCTGGGAGCATGTGCTGAGCGGTTGCTATCAAATCTGAGATAGCAGAACCCATCCAGCCAAGAAGCTCAAGTGCCATGCTCTTCGCAGTGGCCGGGCTCTTATCTTGGTCGGTGATTTGAATCATGCGCAAGGCCAAGATCCGGAGAAGCAGCTCTGCAGCCGGCCAATCAGCCGAGCCCAGTACATTTATTAGATCCTGAGTGAAAAGATCTAGAATATTGCGGTATGGCTGGTCACCAGTTTTCGTCGAGTTCATAGCACGCTGGACGATGAAGTTCACAATGTATTGTGCGGAGCGCATAGCATTGTCGTAGAGTCGGTTGGCCTTGTTCGCTAGGCGTTCCAACGATTCGTCTGACTCGTCGTCATCAGACTCACCGTTGTCATGGTTCTCGCCATCGCCCATAAGCTCGTCGTCATCGTCATCTGCTTGTGCTTTGATTCGACGTTTGGTCTTCGATCGCGAGGGTGTCTCCAACGCAGTTGTCTGAACGAGCTGCAGGACTAGTGCGGTGAGTAGCTGGATGTTTTTTCCATCTGCAACTTTGAACTGTCGGGCATTCTGCCGTGTGGTGGGAAGTTTCTCCAATGAGACCAGAATCTCATCCAGAATAAAGGGTCGCTGCTCAGGATATTTGGAAAACACCTTTGCAAGTACATCCATTGCACCACGTCTCGCAGGCTCGTACTTCTGATATCCTAAAGCAGAGTCTTTGTCATTGTGTGCATTTTCCACAAATATTAGCTTTGCAGCAAAGAATTCCGCGGCCGTGATCGTCCCTTCGGAGACGTCGATGCGAGACAAAAAGTCTGCAAAAAGAGTGAGAACTTTCTTGCTCTGGTGAACAAGAGTGCCAATGATCCGCTTCTGGGCAGAGAAGAAGTGAAAATGCTGGCCGTCTTTACCACCAGGACGCGATTCCACTGCGGGAATAATGCAATGATCAAATAGTTGATTGAGAACGGCGGGAATGGCTTCGATGAGATCTTCTGGACAAAGATCTCGCTCGGTCTGGCGCCCAGACATCGTCTGCAGCAGTGTTCCGATTGCAAATAGTGCGTTCAACTCATCCTCGATCTTACTCAGCCACTCCTGGGACTCAAGCTCGCTGGGTGAATCGCCTAAGCCTATGTCGAGAGATTGGGCAGCAATGATTGGCTTCTCGCACAATTTTTGAATGCGGTTGAGATAATCAGACGGTATGTCCTGGAGTCGGTCAAACCCTGCAACTTTCCGAAGGGCTTTCTGGAGGCGAGTATGAGCATCAGATGATAGTACCAACCCATGCACCTCTAGAGATGTTGGGTTCACGAAAATCGGGTTTGGTGTGTCAGAAGTTGGGGGAGTCGAAGTATCGGGTTCAATTTGGTCTTCCGCTTCAAAAACCTCGTGAAGAAGATCTTGAAGCTTCTGCAATGCTGCATCTGCTTCCTCTTTTTGGTCCTTGAGTCGCACCGCCGCCATAGCATCTTGGCCATGGGCTTTCAATTGAAGCTTCTTCGCATTTGCGTAATCGTTATGTTGAGGTACGGATTTGATTGGAATAACGACGGATAGTTGGCTCGATGAAGGAGGACGATTCTGTTCAAAAGAGGCTGAGAAAGACGCCGAGTTCGATTTGTTCGCAGCGTATGCGCGCTGATTTAATGAAGCAGCTGTCTTCGGGATGAGGTCTTTATTTTCTGGTTTTGTCTTTGGGGGTGCTTCGGGATCTGTGGTCGGTCAGTCAATTGACTATGTACAAACTTCTGTGACATCTTGGGACTTACATCTGAATGCAATGTCCGTAGAGTTAAGCATCATCCGTGCGAAGGAACCAAGGCTATTGCGACCGGAACTAGCACCGTTAGGATCATTTGGGCGCAACTGTTGACTTCGTGTAGGAACCCGAGGAAGCTTGAATTTGCTGTGAAATCCAAATAAGTTAACTGCGCTTAGAAAGACTTCAAGTTTCCTTACAATTCTGTCAGCTGGTCTCCATCCAGCAACTGTTGAATATATTCTCGAGACGTCTCTAAGCGACTAGAATCATCCTGTCCAGATTGCATTTCCGAGTCGAGTTCACCCAGTGTTTTGCGGCCTTCCTGGAGGACATGGTTTATAGAAGTAGTGTTTGAAGGTCGACCAACATCGGGGCGTAGGATACAATCTGTGCATACAAGCCGTCAGTAAATTGAGTAGAACTGGAGAGACAAAGAGAACAGACGAACCAAGACCAAAGACAGGCGCGCTGGACATGGATGAGTACTGCAGTGCCTCATCCACAGATAGCGGCCTTTGATTCTGAAACTGCATATTGGAGCCATATTGTGGCATCTGATCATGGCCGTTGATGACCACCTGCACGGCGGGTCGTCCATTATGGTCCATGGTCAAGGTTAAGTCAAAAGAAGTAGGCGCGAATCATAAATTTGACATGCTCTTGGTAGAGACATGGCAAAGAAGGCAGGCCCCTTATGACATCCCTAGATCGTTTAAGTAATGAAAAAACAGAATCTGAAAGAAAATGAGCTGAGCTACGATCAAATGCGTTCATGAATTCAATATGGGTGACGGTACCCCAACTGCCACCTGTGACCGCCTATCTAGAGGCTCGTGCGTCCAAAAAAAGTTGCATAGATTATTCGCTGCATAAGGTCCCGTTCGTTGTCACTCTGCTTACGCCTTTGATCTTCTGCAGCTTTCAGATCGTCAATTTCATTTTACACTCTATCAACATGTCTGCCATAGGTTCCTTGATTTTCTGTACGGATTGTGGTAATCTCCTGCGAGAATCTACTGGCAATGCGAATGCGATTCTGCACTGTGATGTCTGCGGCACTCGGAATAAAGGTAGGTGAATAGAAACCTTTCTAATTCTTACTAGGCTACTAGATAATTCATTTCTAACCTTCAATTTGCAGATACAATTCCCCAAACAACCGTGTCTGAGTCCAAGCCGTCCGCATTCCCCTCAGCATTGAGAGCCAAACGATCGGCAGTCCAGACCCTGTCAGCAGAGGACCGGAAGACTGAGGCTATCATTGATCGCACATGTAACGAATGCGGGAGGAAGGAGATGTTCTACACTACAGTGCAACTGCGCAGTGCCGATGAAGGAAGTACCGTGTTCTACAGATGTGTCTGCGGATTCAAGTATGCCCACCCACCTCGAAAACATGTAATTATGCATACCCAACACTTACTGATTACTTCGACAGGGAAACCTCCAACAATTAATCTTGAAAACACGGATTGTACAAAAGATATGGGGAAATGTCTATTTTTGGACAAAGGCTGTATAACTAGCGGGACAAGAGTATTAAAATCACGACCGTCACGAGACAATTTTCTTTTTTTTTTTTTTTGCAAGATATTCATCATGCAGCAACGGGTGCAGCACTATCCGGGATCAGCGCATATTGGGTTTCACCATTCTTCTCGAACTCTGCCATGTCAAGAGCAACAATGACACTGTCCCTGACCACTTGATTGGGGTCATTCAAGAATTTCTTCAAGGTCTCCTCTACACCATCCTCCTCGCCCAGGCTACCGAGAGCCTCAGCCGCTTCGTGTCGCACCATTCCTACTTCCGACAGGTCACTCAGCGAGGCTGTAAGACTAGGGATTGAGGCAGGGTGGCAGAGTTGTCCGAACACAAAGGCAACCTCGTGGCGGAAGAGAGGAGAGGGGTCTTTGAGGCCCTTGGCCAACGCATTGACGGCGTCGACTGCTGTGGGGAGATCTGGGGGCGAGGCAAGGTCGCGCAGACCGAACATCGCACGGTATCTTTGGAACAGAGGGAGCTTGGTGTCAAGCAGTGTCTTTTCCAGGTCTGGGATGCAGGGTTCAGCGCTGGCCTCTACGGGCATAGGTGGAGCAGGGTCGATAGAAGTGAAATCACTGTAAATCAAAAGACCTCAATTTTAGTATTTCTCTTCATGGTATATAATCTCCCGCGCAGATCGTACCTAGGCTTCAATTTCTCGGTCTTGCGCTCTTCTGAGTTCTCCCACTGGATTCGATCCACAGCGATGTCGCAAGTCTCGCGGATGATATCCAGTTCCTTTGTATCATCCCTCAATCTCTTGAGGATGTCCAAGCTATCCGCGTATCCAAGAGCGCCCAGCGCCTCGGCAGCCTCATGGCGACACATCGCATCCTCCTCGGTATCCTTCACCACATGCTGCAGGTATGCGACAGATTCGAAGTTTTTAGTTTGGCCGAGGCAGTAGGCAAGTTCATGCTTGAGCAGAGCTGAGGGCGACGCGAAACCTGCGGCGATCGCTTCGATGGCGGGGAGAGTCTGGTCTGTGGTGGGCTGTAGACAGGCCAGGTACTTAAGGGAGAAAAGAGCGCGGAAGCGGCGAGCAAGCGGCTCAGATTCAGACACTAGCACCTTGCGGAGAGTAAGAACGGTATTATCTGTTTCAGAGGCCATTTTGAGGGGTGTAGTTGGACAGGGGAGTATAGAGGTGGAAAAGAAAAGTTGTTAATCTTTTTGATCTTATCAATTTTTAGAGTGGGGGGCGGGGCCCATTCAGGCCTTGGTTATGCAGGGGGATTTTTTTTTTTCGCTCGTACGTTATTGTCTTCAATGCTTCCGGCGTAAGCCCAGGTCATAATTTATTGGTAGTTGTGGATTAAACTACCCTTACAGTTAAATAATCATGTATCGTTGTAGGTTTAAGGGTTGAGTACGTGGGATCTTGTAGATGGGAGCGCTGATCTCAATATATGTTGTATGTAGTTTGCTCTACTTGTGTATTCTAGTGAGAACCTTGGACTTTGAATAAAAATCGACTAAAGAACAAAATATATGTCCGTATACTTGCTATACACATATTACGAGCCATCTACGTCCTAAAATATACAGTTAATATTGAAATACCTAGGTAGAAGCTTGAATGGATCAGTTCGAACCACCACAGAACTAAAACTAGCCCTACTTTATACATAGTTATATAGTCATCAGCACGTTACGTTCTTGCTCATAGAACCATGCTCATACAATGGAACCAGTGGCTGGATGATATTATATAAAGCACTTCGGGATCCGAGCACAGCCGTGTTGAGAAATATGGGATAGTTGGAGCTCAAGGGTAGGCGTTTGTAGTAAATAAGTATTTCAGGTGATGGTTTCGTTAATGCCTACACCGACCGCGTCTAATTAAGAATAGTATATATCCCCTAGTATTATAAAGCATCTTAAATAATCGAAAAGTAAACAACTTTTACTTACCAATAGGCGAATAAGGGACGTTTACTTACCCATTAATTTTATATGTAACATGATGGATATACATCTGTTGACATTTCCAAAAAAAAAAGAAAGTATATCACCACATAGAAGTAGACTCGACATCGTTCCTTCTGCTCCTGGAGGTTAAATGGGACTTGACTATAGTTAGCCCTAACTCATGAAGTCTAGAGATGACCTATATTAGGACGCGATATATGGAAGTGCTTGAAATTGAGTTCGAGTGGTAAACTAAATATGTACATAATACAGCGCGAAGTCAAATCATTTGGTCTTGATATGTCTGAGCTTCTTGGGCTCGTGGACGAAGTTGTTGGCATAGGACTTGGGCACGAAGCGGCGTTCGTTCGGTTCCTGGACAAAGTATTCGTAACCCTGCTTCTGAGCAAAAGCGATAGCGTCTTCCTTCGACTTGAACGTCAGGTTGGTACCCTGCATGCTATCGGCAGACGATTGCCAGCCCATGAGGGGGTTCTCCCAACGGTGACCCCGCTGCAAGATATCCCAATCCATGCGCCAGTGGTGCTGGTGCCAGGTACCGGACTGTGTTGCGGCCTTGGTAGGGCGGTAGATACTGTGAGAGTCATGGGTTAGTATGCAAGAGCTGGTAATACTGCTCGAAATTTGCCTAACGTACCGGACATTGCGGCCCTGGAGATCGGTAGGGGCTCCGGAGAGGACGGCCGCGGGGAGAGTGTCGCCGGGCTCACTACCATCCATCACGCGCTTGGGCACCGGGGAAAATTGCCTTAATTGAAGCGAAGGGTTAGTGAAAAGATCTGCGACGGAACCAAAGGGGGATGTCGTACGAGGTGCCGTGGTCAATGGTGGCCTCATAATCCGGCTGGTGACGGGTCATAGCCTCGGAGGGGGTCTCCTTGGTGATCAGGGAGCTGTCCCTAGAAGGCGTGGTGGGAGCATCCGCGGTGGTGGTTTTCACGGAAGGAACGCCCTTGGGGGCGTTGGAGAGGAAACGGGCGTTGACAGGCGTAGAAAGTCGGCTGACCCGAAGGCCAGCAGCACCCCCGATTCTGAAGAGCGACATTGTGTCTTTTTGGATGCGGGGAATGGTCGTTGCCAATGAGGACTCCCTTCAAGTGTGGTTTGGTTGCGAATTACAGGCAGGTCACGACACCCCCCGAATCGGGTTTAGCCGGGCTTGGCAAGCCGAACACCCGCAGGGCTCGGTTTGTTCCTCCTTCCTCCTCCATCAGCTTTCTTTGGTTCACTTGCATCGCGAATCAACGTAAGTTCACGTCTCTACCACCCTACGAATGCTCGTTGAGAGCCGCTCTATTTAGTGCGACCAATTTTTGACCCCATTCAGCCTAGACAAGATGAGCTACATTGCCCGCCGAGGTCTCTCGACCTTGATCCCCCCAAGGTAAGAGCACCCCCATTGATGACTATCTGTAGTCATCCGATTTCTGAAATGATGCTAATTGTCCCTCCAGGTCGCCTCCCCTAACGTGAGTTACCCACGCGCTGCCATCTTCGACTGAGTGCATCCCTTCCACACCCGTCCCGCCCCGAAGCCTTTTTTTTGTGAAGCCCGCGATTTGATTAAAATGTCGTCTTTCTTCTGCCTTCATCACTGACATATTCTCAATCAAGGCCATCGGTGCCGCCCAGGATGCCGCCCGCATGGAGCGTGTTGTGACCTTCTACGCTGGCCTTCCCCGTGGCCCTGCCGCTGCTGTCAAGCCCACCGGCCTCGTCGGTCGCTACCAGGCCCGCTACTTCAATGGCAAGAACGCCTCTGGTGTTCGTACGTATTCTCCATTTGTCCCCTTGTATTGATACGGGTACTAATTTCGATGCAGCCTTTATCCACGCTATTGGCGGTATCCTGATCCTGGGTTACGGCATGGAGTACTACTTCCACCTGCGTATGTGTTTTCCAGCTATTAAACTCCATATATACCCTCTTTATATTTGGGACGCCACTGACTCTTATTTTTTTCCGATCAGGTCATCACAAGAACCACCCCCACTAAGCCTTCCCTTTCAATCAAATAGATGGAGGATTGATGTATATACTGGATCCTCTGTCCTAGTGCAAGGGAAAGCTATGGGTTTAGCGAGAATTTTAGAATCTCACTGTGTTTGAATATTCAGATTTACTATACTTCCTGTCTTTTTGTCGTAGTTGTAGTAGATTTGGAAGTATAACACATAACATAGAAGCTTGAGTGACGGGCTCTTTCCATAGTGTTTTTTTATCATATACAGACTTCACACCAAATATCAACGTCCGAACAATTTACCATTTACAAGTAACGACAGCATCCAAACGACATCATTCTGTAAACTGATTAACGCATCAAAAATCCAGCGCTTGCGCTTTTGAAAAGATACATCTCAAGGTGTGTGGGTAGACTTCACAACTTTTGTACGGGCCACGCTAAACCGAAAGCAGCGACCCTCAGCTTCAACCCGAGTTGACTCTTGAATCTCGTATCATCCTCCCTATCTTTGTATCATCAACCGTCCTTACGCATACTCCCTCCCTCTTTGCCCTAATCCCATCCTGGGACCTCTTGGGCTGCGGATTTCCCGAGACACACGCGCCTATCGATTCCGCGACCGTTCGCTCCACATCGAGCCCAACCTCACACGGGCTTTCTCATCAACATCCGAGAGAGAGTTGGTCGATACTATCCCTGGTTGTGATATCCCATATATTCAGGGTGCAACCAGTCAAGGAACCAGTTCAACTGTGGCGATCCTTGGTATCTGACGATAGGTATGTTTCTTTGGATTCTGGCATGTTCGATCTGCAACTACCTATTACATCCCTGTAACTATCTCCCCACTGTCAAGGCACTTGGCTTACATGATCGCTGGAACAGAATCAAAATTGTTATGGCAGAGCAGATCAACCGCGATGTGGTAGATCAGACCCTGTCGGGCGGCGAGCCTTCGCCTTCCGACGTTCCTGCGAGCACCAACGACAATCTATCTGCTGGAGCGGACGCAG